AGATCAAGGGCATTGCCGGCGTTATGAGTTAGTGGGGATGGAGACAGTGAGAAAGCAAAGGTGGTTAACAGAGATGTTAGTTCGTCTATCTTCCCTGTCTGGAGGTTGAAGTCTCCGGTTTTCATATGACTTGTTTTTGACCTGTGCTATAATTGACTCTTTTGAGATGTCATAAAATAAAGGCTCCTCTAAATTATGCTGTGGTGTACTGGATGATATAGCAGTGTAGATTAGACATTTTCATTTTGAGTTGGGCGAACCAGGCATATTACGATGTCCTAGACCTAGGTGATACCTAACAATGGACGATGATATTATTTTTGTGGAGGGGTGTAATATTAGATTCTGATTAACTAATAGTTCAAATTAGTTTGAACAAGTTCTTCTTTACTTTGGATTGTTTGTTGTTGGCTGTACAAATCTAAATATCATCAATATCTGCAAAATTAAGAAAGTGTATATAAAATGATATAACCATTTGTATTGTGAAAACAAGTCATATTGGTAATGTCATATTGACATTGATCTTTCAGATCATCTTTTCATTGGTCATTGGTATATGATTCTGAAATGCTTCTTCAGATCATGTTTGGTATACGAAAAACACTTCAGAGCTGGAAGTGTGTGCCAACAATTTCTTGTTTGAACACATTTTGTCTGACTGAATGCGTAACCTTATTTCCTGGGTCAGTAGTTTCCTGGAGGCAGGGCTGTTTTACATGTTTTATGCAAACTGGTTGTTGCCCTATTTCATATGTCAAAGTAAAATGACCTTTATCTTGACAGTGTGACACAAACAACATAAATCAATCAATAAAAAGTATCAAGGGGACTCATTCTTCACGAGAGAAAATTCAACCAGACTGTGGATCGACAGTAGAGCTGGGACATTTATCTCTTCAGTCTTGATCCATCATCCGTCAAAGAAATGTGACTTTTAGGAAATGTTGTTTATTTTGTGCTATCAATGTTTCCCTGTGTGCCAGTAATAAGAAAAAGGACATCATTTACCGGGCTTAAAAAGTCGATTTCACCGATTTTATGAACTGATAAACCTTAGAAACACAGGTGATTATGTTTTACAACAGCTTTTTAGTCATTGAACAAAACCACAAATGTATTCACATAAATATGGCCCTGCTAGAGAACAGTGCTGATGGTGTCAAAGTCCTTGCTGATCTGAGAACTGCTTGGCAGTGACTTGAGGTACTCCAGGTGCCTCCTAGCGTCCTCCTGATTGTGTCTCACATAGTAGATGACGTACGCGATCACCATGGTGAACCACCCGAACATGGTGACGAACATGGCTACGTCGGTGGTCTTGTGGTGGAAGTTGCAGAAGTTGATCCCTGAGTCCAGCACCTGGATCACCGGTTTGCCAGCGTACTCCTCCTGCACCGCCGTATGGCACATCACCTCGTTCACCGTCTCAGGGTCCAACCGTAGCTCCCTCAGCACCTCCTGCAGCATGCACTCGCAGTGCCACGGGTTGTTCGAGAGACTAATTTTTGCCCGAAGTCGCGCAAATGCCTCTTTAGGGACACTTTGGATCCGATTGTTTGATAGATCCAGAAAAAGGAGGCTGTCAGAAACGCCTTGGAAAGCTCCGAGGTCCACCAATTCAATGTCATTGTTAGACAGGTCCAGCTCCTGCAGGTAGTGCAGGTCCTTGAAGGCTTGGTTGGGGATGTGGGTGATGTGGTTGGATGCCAAAAGCAGGATGACGGTATCTCTTGGGAGATCAGGTGGTATGATGTCCAAGTTACGGGAAATGCATTGGACCACGGTCTTTCCACTCTTCTCCATGCAGTGACAAGTCGTGGGACAAGCCATCACTGGTGCAATTACGATGAATAATCCAAAGACAATGCACCATATCACGGCAAAGCCATCAAGGATAGAGGATTTCCTGGGCATATCAAGCCCGCCAACCTTCTGCATAATCAGCAGTGCCTCCCCAAATTGTGTCAGGTATAATTAATCATTGTTGCGCTTGTCTCTTGGCATTAAATAGTGATGACTCCAGCTTCATTAGCTTTCGAAAAGGCCCAAAGCATCAGTTCATGCACGGCAACGTAGGGGTTTATCATGAGAAAAGTCTTCAAATTTGATTTCATAGACTTCTGCAGAATCTTTTGAAGTAGATTTCAAAAGAGCTCTTCCAAAAGTTGAGCTGCTCACTGAGCATATTCCTGAGTAATCTCAGGTTTATTGTGACAATTTGCAAAGCCTTGGAGAGTTCAGAGTGAGGCGCTGGTATCAGCCTGGCATGCTGTGCACTGAAAGAAACAAATAGAAGAGTGTTATTCTTGAACAAAAAAACGATTTACTTTTTCAGTTTAGCTGAGGAGGGCAATACTGTAGAAATAATCCTCCAAACTCTTCTATAAGTGCACTGGCCATTGCCTCTGTCTTGCCAAAATGAGCTGAGTAAATCCTTTTCCCAATGTTGACAAGAAGTGTAACGTAATTACGGGGAAGAATCCATTTCACTCCAGCAAATCTCATACACCAGGAGGCACATTCCTCCTGGGTCATCACCAGCATATTTTCATTCAATTAGGAAAACATAATTGTATTCTGCAATGTCTAGCATAGGCGTTACATGACATGAACCTCTGTGTAACTGCATACTGGTGCATATCAAAGCTGGACGAAGACAAAAAAAGCTGCTTATTTTCACCTTTCTCCCAACAATAGTGGAAACATTTATTTTGGATGGCTCCCTCTTTTAAAGCACTGTCTCTCATTTAGATACTTGGTAAGAATAGGTGCGTGCTGAGAAATGACTCCATTTGTCCTGCAGGAGGATCATCGCTGTAGGACTGCGCACCCTCTGCTGGGCTAAAGTGTTCAACTTCACACCATGAACCCCTCGCTGTGTTCGAGGTCATCCACCCCATGGAGCCGGTGTCCTCTTCTCTCTTTTTTTCTCTTTCCTTTTACCTTTTGGCTTTGACGCTCTGGGAACTGAAGAGTCTTAAATAAGCTCATCAGTCTGAGCTCAGCAAGGGGGGTGGACATGATGTGGACTCATAACAAAGGGAAAGCTAAATGTTATGACACCACTGCATCATTAATTATACTATGCTAAATGAAGGTTTACACATGCATATTGTGCTCTTTTTCTCTTAAAATGAAATTGAATGGCAAATTGTCAATTGAATGTCAGGACAGCAAAAAGCCCACCTGTTAGACGGCCTCTTGGCCAATAAAAATAAGAATCTCTCTCCTCTGTATGTAGCATTTAGAAAGCATGGCTTAAATTGAAGCTAAATGCAGTAGCACTTAGTCTAGTGTGGTTTATAAATAGGATTCAGGATTCTTGCTTTTGAGTGTATATATGGTTGAATGCAGGGCCGGTCTTTGGCATAGGCGGCCAGATCTGGGGGGGGCGCTGCGCTGGTAGTTCTGGGAGGGAAAACAACATTTTTGACTGTTTGGCTCATCCTAATTTTCAGCCTTGATGTAACAACATTCATAATTAAGTCAATGTAACACCCTTTTCAACCCGGTTACGCTTTTCATTTGCCCTGTACGATGGGCGCTGTAAGCAGTGGTGGAGCCAGGGTATGGCTGGGGTAGGCTACAGCCATACCAAGAAATGGCTTAGCCCCACCTTAGCCCCACCATGAAAAATTATGTTAAAGTAAGCAAAATAAAGTCCGCCAACTCGCACGGAGTAAATTGCACAGACAGCAGTTAGTAAGATTGATTGCAGTAGCCACTTGGAAATACCGAAGACCAGAAACGGTTTTGAAAACTTTTGTCACGTAGTGATCGTCTTCTCAATAGAACATCTTTGATAATGTCTTCTGGCCAATCAGAATCAAGATAACGGTGTGGTGTTGTTGCAGGAAGTCCCGACGGAGAATACTTTTGCGGTAGTACATCTCTATATACATCGATACAACATTACGTGTTGATAGAAATCAACACGTAATGAAATAAGACCCTACGGTTTGATGATTGATAGGTGTGTGGGCTGTCTTCCATTTTGACACACAGAACAATGGGGGCTATCCACCCTTATCCACAATGTGAAGTAATTCACTCTTCTCTCTGTGAGGAACAGCAGGTTCAGCTTTCAAAACTAAGTAACAAAAATGGCATTCATTTTCTTTTTAAATATGTCGTTTAGTAATAGATTTATTTATTTTTCTTCTCAAGAGAGTACCAGAATGTGTGTTTTATGTTAGTATTTCAAAAAAATATCCTGGGGGAGAATCCCCCCAGACCCCCCTGCAGGGGTTGGGTTTTCAGCATGTCAACTCTTTCACCTGTGGGGAAATTGCAGGATTGGCTCCAGGTCGCCCTTTCTATTTACGACAAATGTGCCTTTTTATTTCATACAGTTAAATTTGGAATGAGACAGGGAATATAATCTAAACCTCACGCGTGGCTTTTCACTGTCAAGGGGGGAGATATAATGTGTATGTAATTACATTGCAAATACTGACTTGAGCCCCACCACTGTATGGGTTAGCCCTACCGTAGATTACCCAACAAAAATACTCTGGCGCCGCCACTGGCTGTAAGTGATGAAAGTGGGGGATGTTGACTTCTCAAGCACCCGCAGCTCACAGCCAAAGTGCGAGCGAGCCTCCGAGCGAGCAAGAGAGAGAGAAAGGGCGCGCATTGGTACCCCGGATTGTTGTTGGATTGAGGCTGATAACTACAGCTCAGTGAGGTAAAGGACTGAGTGTTTAAATAGTTCACTTTAGTCTAAGTTATCTCAGTGGGTCTCAAACGGTTTGCTCAAAATGTATGTTAACAAATATTTCCAAGGCACACCTTTATAATTATTAGGATAAATAAAAACAGGTTTGAAATCATTCCAATGTATACTATAGGAAAGTAAACCAAAAATATTGTTTGAAACTGGAGATATGTCAATAATACATTTCAGTTTTTTTAGTGTATTGGTCTTTTGTAGAGATTTTTCATTTATTCTTTAGATATTCTATTGTGTATTGCTTGGAGGGGGGGAGGAGCACCAAATCATAATCTCGCCTCGGGCACCAAAATGTCTAGGACCATGCCTGGTTGAATGCACTTATTGTAAGTTGCTTTGGATAAAGTATCATCAGCTAAATTAAATGTAATAGGCTATAATGTAAATAGGCAACAGATATTTTTCTTCAGTTTTGAAAGGAATTCTAAATGAATAGCATTTATCCTAAAATAAATATTAAGTGGACCTTAAGCGGAAGAAAAACCTGGGGGAAAGATTAAAAATGTAATCAGGGTAATGGTGCCTAAGTGCAGAGTAAGCAGTCAGTCTCGTGGCGTTTATAATATTGCAGATTTTAATCACATGTGGTTTTGTGGTTAAAACATTAGCAAACACAAACGCACAAAGGTTAATGACTTAATTATCAAGTACAAATGGTGGAGTAGTACTTACCGAGAAAGAGTTATATCCTGGAATTCATTAATAGCTACTTTTTTTATTTATTATCAAGGTATACCAATTGCGGACATATCGTCGATAGTGCAGCTGCAGTTTGCTCATATCACATCTGTATCATGGTTAAAATAAGTCTGAGCCGCTGTGGAAATAAATAGTAGGCTACAATTATATTGTATAAAATGAAAAAAGTGCGGCTTCCTCAATGCGTCCACATCTGCGCGAGGGAATGAAGAAGTTCCGAAACCTCACGCGGCGAAGTTTAAAATCTCAAAGTGGAAAGCTGCTTTTTAACGTCCTCTTATGAAACGCAGCACGATAGTTCAGCTTGCTGCCTATGATAAGGGTGGTGGAGGATGTGGCGGAGGTGTTCAGGCGAGGTCTCGCGGAGCTGCACCGGGCTGATTTATCACGCGCCACTCTCTACAGACTGAGCGCACACGGCACCAATAGGAGTCACGGCTGCGCGTGATTGGAACTGCTGCTGTTCTGCTGTCTGCCTGTGTCTGCCTGTGTCTGCCTGTTTCTCTGACTCCTGTGTACCTCCTCTCTGATTTCTTTCTCTCCTAGACATAACCAACCATTAAGAACATCACAAATGTGTTCTTAAAAAATACAAGAAAGCAAGACATGTATGTTGGTTATAGCTATTTTAGTGACTTTTGGCAACAACATATTTTTTTTATCATAATTCGGTTTATTCCTCACTTGTTTACTCAGTATTTATTAAAGTAAGTCATTTTCTTTGGTGTATAGTGGTGCATAAAGTTAAGGAAACCAGCACCACAGCTCATACAACTATAATAAAGAAGAATACAAAATATACAAGAAATACAAAGATACGAAAAGGGAATAAATTACAAATGCTGTAAAAGAAAAATACTGTGTATATTTTAATACACAAATGGAAGACTTGTGCAGATTTAAAAGTTGAAGTATTTTGCAGAAATATACGCCAACATTCTACAGTGGCTATTTTGCTTGCATGTGATGTCTAAATTCACCAACAATTAACATAAGATACATTATTTCCATATTAAAATATACAATTTCCGAATTGTTTTAAATCCAAAATATGTTACACTATACATCTGTCATTTTTAACAGAATTGTACAATACATATCCATATAGGGCATGTTAAGTCAATAGATGGGTTTGGTTGGAGCAAGGGCTTGAGAAATAAGGATAAGGAAGTGGGAGAACGGGAACCAACTCCCTGTTAATTGTAAGTCCTGCAGTATGAATTCAGTAAAAAATTAAAGAAAATGGGGAATCAATGTTCTTGCCCATCCTAAGACCTTGTCACATTGGACCGGCTGCATTGATTATTTCAATCACCCCGAGTGCTGTATCAGACGGGGGGGGATGTTGGGGAATTAGTCCGCACAGCAGTGGATCAAGATGTCAGCTCCAGGTCTGCACTCGGCTGGTAATTGTACTGGAAACCGTGGAGGCTTATTCTCACAAACTGGATGCAAAGGTTACAATAGGTAGTGTAGAGGCTAAGCCAACGCTTTAAGCCTCTGAGGATCCGCTATGTTGGCGTAATTGACGCATACAAAGTTTGCTGCTGAATAAAAGTCAGAAACAAAGTTTCCAGTTCGATACAGTCCATTTATTTCCTTTTCACTGGTTTCCATTTAACTTGCTTCATTCACTCATTCACCACACAATATTACGGTTCACAAAATACCTTTTGCAAATGTTTGTAATCCCGTGTTTGTGTGTGTGTGTGTGTGTGTGTGTGTGTGTGTGTGTGTGTGTGTGTGTGTGTGTGGGTGTGTGTGTGTGTGTGTGTGTGTGTGTGTGTGTGTGTGTGTGTGTGTGTGTGTGTGTGTGTGTGTGTGTGTGTGTGGTCCGTGTGTGGTCAAAAACTGTATGGCCTTCTGGCGGAACCTCTAACCACAAACATAGGTTCCTACCTTTATAGGTAGGAGTGTTAATTGGCTCCTACAGGTAGTGCTACTTCTAGGACTGACTCTAGCTGTGGAAATGTTTGCATCATCTACCAGCAAGTGTTAACGTCAGTGGTGTTTCAATAGATAACTTTCTATACATTTCATTGCGTGTCAACACAACAATGAGTCCAATTTGCCTCAGTATGGTAATTAGGGTCAGACTCCATGCGGCCTTGACAGATTGACTGTACATGCCTGCACATGCAATGGAGCAATAAGCATTGTTCTTTTCCAAAATGGAAAACGGAATGGAACCTAGAAGCAGGGGTTGAATGTGGCTTCTTTGAGTAACACTTGAGTGCAGATTATAAAATGCACAGAGTGATGTCAATCTTCCAGATAACCTTGGCGAGAACACTCAAACAATCAGTAATTATAGGATTTGACAAGTGGGTTCAACCGACCGCTTCAATTCCGTTTGCTGTCCCCTATGTGATTCAAATGTAGGTCAGCTGGTCCCAGTGTTCCAGGTGTCATTTGCGCTACGAAGGAGTACAGGTTCTTTCCAAGGTGCGAGCCACAGTCTCAAACCCACAGTGAGCAGCTGGCCTGATGAATTGTGCTATGTGGTACTACAAACTCCTAGAATCTAAAGTAGAATAGTAGAAGCTCTAATGCATTTGGGATTTGGAGTAGCCATGGGGCTGTTAATCATGTCATTTATTTATGAAGTTATCTCTTTAGTTAGCTGTGTAATTCCCTCACAATGACCTTACCATGATAGTTATGCTAAAGACAATGATAATGATACATTCAATTTACAGAAAATGGTCAAAGTAAGGACATCTCAAAGCAGCACCAATGCTTCTTTTAATATTATTGAAGGTTCGAATGATGAAATGTAATGTGAGAGTGTTCACAGTTATCACCAAAATCTGCACTTTCCCTAGGGTATAGAGTTTTAACATGGATATTAGTTTACGGCATGCAATGTTACTGTTTGTTTGAGTCTCACTGCTCTAGTAGATGTTGTTTCCATTTCAGAAAACATGCTCTAAATATTTGCGTCACAGTCTGCTTACTCCTTACCTGCTGCTACTTTTCCACAAACTTTTATTTAATGAAAAGGTTACCAAGACCAGCATTTTTCAAGTCGTTTCTTGTCTAAGATCATCTTGCAAGAAACAGCGTCTGAGGGCTTCTTAACATTTAATAAACTATGAATTTGTCATATCCACTTAACGGGAAGAAACTCAGCTATCAGACAATATGAACCATTTTTAGCTAGACGAAACAAAAGGGTAATAAGAGAGGCTCTAAATTAGCCCTGAGCGGGAAAAAAAACACACTTATCACAGAACTCACGTTAAAATACCCTTATTACTTATCGTATCTGCACAAACAAGATATTGATTAGTAAACTGAGATTCCACAGATTCCAGACATATAAGTATCATCACTGAGCGATCAGATATCGCGGCGAAATGACAACAAACAACAACAACAAAATTAGTTTTACAGGACCAAATCGGAAAATAAGTCTTACCGCTGTGTTCTGATCAAAAGTTGTGTTCAATGGCATTAAAACGATAAAAACGCTGCTGAAGGTTAATCCAATGTATCTGTGTCACTTTGAAATTATTACTGATTATCCATCATTCCATTTTTATGTCAATAACGGAGATTTCATATTAGCTGCTACGATAGCTACTAGACGTGTATGACAGCTTCCGGTTCCGGGGCATTCTGGCTACGCATCACTCATTCACCAATGGGTAATGTTTAGATGGATTTTAGGGAAACTCGATTCCATTGGCTCTAACGGTTCAAAAAAGGTGTCAATCATCAACATCGACGAGGGGGGCCAGAGATATGGAAAATGCAAATGACCCGAGGTGTTTTTTTTTGCTAAACCTCTCTAAAAAGGTCAAATGTCACTTTTTTCGCATCAATCTTGATACAGGGTACTTATTATATGTTTTAGTTTGGATTCTTAAAGCTTTTAGTCTACTTTCCCATAATTCAAGGGTGGTTTTCACGATAAGTAATGTTGTTTTTTTGGACGGACACTATAATTTATATTTTTTTACTATGTTCAATCTGAATTTACGTTCAAATAAAAAAAATCTATATTGATTCTGACTCTTCTACATCCAACTCACAGGTGTATCATTGCTTTAGAAAAAAGATTATTCATTTAACCCTTTTAGAAGGGAAGATATGGTCATTTGTTCTGGGAATGTCATTTTCGAGCCTGAGACCTGAAAAACAGGCTCTGGGCTCAACTGGTTTTAATAAATGTTTTCATCTAGGGAATTTTATGATCTGAACAGGCAGTGGCCGAGTAAAATGCATATTTTAAATGGTGCCATAAAACACAAACGGTGGGACTTGAGCGACCGATCCAATATTAAGGTGTCACAGCTGTTATGGTGGACGTACACGGTAGAATCATCTATGTGCAAATGACGTAAACAAGTCTGCAAGACATGAAAGTAAAAGAGACCAAAACATATAGAAAGCAGTCACAATGCCAGCTTTATTTATTCCATCCTCTTTTATACACCCCATGCTGCCACTTATCATCACCAATCCACCATTCTCTCAAAGGAGGACTCCAGCAGACATAAATATGCTAAATCTAATCCAAATTGCCAGAAATGTTGAAAACAAAAGCATAACAACACACTGCTGGACGCGGGATTTTATCTTAAGATATATCTGCTGACCGTGACGATTCTCACACAATGTTGCATAGATATTCATTCGGAATTTTGATCCTTTGTCTGGCTGGATAAAAGGTAGGGGTGGATAGGGGTCAATAGTGAATTCATTCTGGCAAAAGCCCACACCTATTATGGCAGAAAAAAGGGATGACTGTGGTAGTCAGATAAAAGGAATCCAAGGTCAGGAATTTGGAGAGCAGATGTTCCTGGAGCAGCAACACTTCTGCTGCCATAGGGATGCAGCAGGATCCTCACGTAAGCGCATTTTGCTTCCTCCATCAATTCAAGAAGTAGGGGAGGCGCGAGTATGGGGCTATTCATCTGAACAACAGCACTACGCTTACCTCCACATCAATTTATCCTGATTAATGTACCCACAGAGATATTTCCACAATGTCAGGATTTATTATTTTTCCTGTAAAAGCATGTTTCGTCCTTAATACTTTTGTGATCGTGCTTGGTGGGACACTTGGAATAACATGGTATTATTCTACATTTGTCTTGTGATTAACACCCTGCTGAAGGGTTTCTAATGAGCGCCATTTATTTACATTATGAACAATTGAGGACAAAGTCCACCGGTCTCTTATCTAATTGGCCCTTGGACAAGTAATAACAGCTCCAAACAGAAAACACATTCATCCAACTTGGCCGAGCCGGGGGAGATGGCGCGGTGATGTATGGCCGATTGGTGGTTGACACTGAAGATAAACGACTAAAGTGTTGTTTGGTGTGTGTGCTGGCAGAGAATA